AACAAACAAACAAACAAACAAACAAACAAGTTATAAAGGAACTGGCATTTAACTGGAGATTTTCTGCCTCATCGATGTAATGGCTATCATCAGTGAACAAGTCATCATTGTCTCTGCGTGCTGTCCACAGAGAGAATAGCAGTCTCAAAGACACACCTTATACGCCTTTGAGGACTGCAATGGTTAGGAATTTGACAGCTAGAGGAACATCTTTTTCCCCAGGGAAACTAATGTAATGAAAGTAGGATGCTCACAGGGACCAAAGAAATGCACACAGTTTGACTACACAGGGACAGTGTATTGCAACATGAGGTCTTTCCTATTCATATCCCAACAACATTGCCCAAAATGGAGAGATGTCAGTGATGTGAAGGCATAACAAAGACAAGTAAAATACTACTGGGTAGTCACTGCATGACCTGCTCATTTCTATGAGCATGACTGCAACTATAAATTCAAAAGACGGATGACTAATGTTCGTTAATTTGCTACATGAAACTGAAGAATAGCTCGCAGATAGAATTTTTGTCAGCCTAATTATTGTCCTTTGTGATATCTGTAGTATTTGACTTTCTTGGTGACAGTACAACAGCTACAAATGTACAAGGGGTGTATATCACACCGCCAGAAAAAGCTTTTTAGCAGGAACTCTTCTCTGCCTTGAGTCATAATGACTACAGTAGACAGTGTCTGCCAACTGAACTTAATAGAATTTATAATCACCTCATTACTGAGTCAGGTCACCTTGTTACACACAGACTGCCAAAAATGCCAATAGCATGTATATAACCTTACTCTTCCTCTCCAAGGATAAGAAACTGAACCACCTTCCTCTTAAATACTGGAAGCCCCTGATGTTTACTTCAAGGGAGGTGCAAACATCTTGGAGGATGAAGAAGTCATCAGGTTTGGAATGACAAACTCATCCTTTCTATTATGTGGCTCTGCAGACAAGAGGCTCAAAGGATCTGAAGAAGCAACATACGAAGCTGCATACTCCAGTCTCAAGTGGAAAGATTTACTGGAAGTTTCCACTGCAGTAAGTCTAGCAATATCTTTTTTTCAGCACAATGCATCAAACTTGACAAACCATCTAGAATCACAAATGAAGAAATTATGTACTGTCTTGCTATCACTTAGCTCACTTAAAAAAAAATCAATCAATATTCCAGTATGATTCTGCTCCAAATGTGTATAGAAAAATAAGACTATTGTAGACAGCATTTATAGTTTAAATAGCAAGTAGCATCTAATTTGTCATCATACTCCGCATTTTAATCTATTTAAACACTCCTGGAGTTCTTGACACAATCCCATGTTCATTTGAATAATAGAAAAAAATTCAGCTGGAAAGAAAAACTATCTATTTTCAGAAGTCAACATTTTTCTTTCTTTTGCAAATTCAATACTAACTCATTACACAATTTCCCAAGCCCCTCTAATCTTACAATACAGAGCAGTAGCTCTAGCACTGAGCTTATCTGTATTAGTCTCTTTGTATCTAAGAAGGCCTTCAAAGTATTGCGACACTTTATCTATTTATCGATTTTTGTATTTGTAGTTTTGTATATTCTCTTCTTCCCTGTCACCTACTTGCTTGAATTAGGTCATCTGCCTTTTCACATAGCTTTGTCACAGCACTGTAAGGGTAAGCAAAACCCAATACATAATTCTCTGATGTACAGCATATCACTGGGCTGTACAGGGAGGTGGAGAACTCTCAGACACTCAGTGTAAGTTTAAATTACTTCAAACGTCTTAAAAAGAAAAGACTATTTTTTCATAAAAGGAAATCTTAATAGCTGACTTCTGTCTCATTCTTTCTATTACTATGATAAATTTCAGACACTCAAATTTATCCTTGCATACATTTGCTGAATGCTCAATAACAATGAAGTCTTGTGAAAATGAAACATGTGATACTTATCTTCTTTTTTTGTTGGTTGAAGTTATCTATGATGACACCAATGAATAAGTTTAGGGTGAAAAACGATCCAAAGATGATAAAGGCAACAAAGTAAATATACATGTACAGGTTGTCCTCATACTTGGGCTGTTTCTCTGTCTATGTAACACAGAAAACCAGCAATACATCACAAATAACAGTTAAGACAAATTACAGAATGCTGAGCAGGGAGGGAAGTTGCATGCAGCTGTACAGCAACTACTTGACAAGCAGGGGAAAACAGCAGTTTTGGAGCATACCCTACACTTGCCTTATATTTGAGAAAATCTATTTAGTACCAGTGTCTGTAACTGCACAGACAGACCTTCTATTCCTCCCCCTTCTGTCTGCCAGTTCCTCTCTAATGACATTTGATGTTTCATATAATTCCTACTAAATTGGACAGAAGTGTGTGAATCTCAAAAGCAATTCAGTTCTTATGGACTTCAGGCAAATTAGGAGCCGGGTAGAGAAGACATGCAAACAAATACTAGCATTAAGAGAAGAACAGGAAAAACTCAGCCATTTTATTTTTGGAGACACGGGAAAAGATTGTTTCCTAATCTGTATGACTTCAGGGACATAAATTAATAGGTGATCAGATTTCATTAGTTTTGTTATTTACAGATGACTTATTAAATTAGTAATACTTTATGTAGATCTACTGCTACAATTTTTTTTACCTATTAAAAGTATATGCCCTTAACTACTTTATAGTGCATAGATTTACATAGAAAAATTTTCAAGGTTTTACATTTTTATTCTTTATATTTTACTTTATTTTAACTGCTGTTAAAGAAGCATTATATCAATCTTATATTTGTTTCCACTATTTTATAGTGCACTCACATCTCTAGAATCAACCGCAGCATACATGATCGCCATCCATCCTTTAAATGTTGCCTAAAAACAAAGTTTGATAACATTTTCTATCAAAGCTCCAATTTTGTATACATTCTAAATAAAACACTGTGTTCTGCAAAGTATTTGCATGCACAAAAATAAAGTGGAATGTTAAAAGTCTGGTAAGACGCGAATGAAATATTCACAGGAATTAATTTACTGTGGAATACTTCTCCCTAGTACTTAAATATGGAATAAATTCTAATCTTCACACAAATCATATAAACTCAATATCTGAGCGTAACAGAAAGATTGCAATTTATAACAAGGCTCTCATTTCTAACTTTCTGACTACTAAAAAAATGGAGAAGGACTCCAAAAATCAGCCACCATGGGTTGGCATTTTCAGACAGAATATGCAAATAGCCCTAGAAGAAACTCCAGAAGTTACATAGTCCCAATCTTGAGAAAATAATAGAATCATAGAATGGTTTGTCTTGGAAAGGACCTTTAGAGATTATCTAGTCCAGCCCCTCTGCCATGGGGAAGGACATCTTCCAGTACATCACACACTTCCAATGATGGGGCATTTACAACTTCTCCGGGCAACCTGTTCCAGTGTCTCACCACCTTATCATTAAAAGGATATGACTGGCTTTCTGGGCTGTAAGCACACATTGATGGCTCATGTCCAAGTTTTCATTCATCAGTACCCCCAAGTCCTTCCTTGCAGGGCTCTCAATCCATTCATCCTCCAGTCTGTACTGATACTGGGGATGGCCCTGTCCCAGGTGCAGGACCTTGCATGTGACCTTGTTAAACATCATGAGGTTCCTAGAGGCCCACTCCAAGTCTGCCAAGGTCCCTCAGGATGGCATCCCATCCCTCTAAGCATATCATCTGCACCGCTCAGCTTGGCGTCATCTGTGAACTGCTGAGGGTGCGCTTGATCCCACTATCTGTGTCATTGATGAAGCTATTAAACAGTATTGGTCCCAGTGCAGACCCTTGAGAGACACCACTTGTTACTGGTTCCCACTTGGACATTAAACTGCTGACTGTTAAGTCTTTGGACACAGCCATCCAGCCAATGCCTTATCATCTAGTGAGCCTTCTATCAAACCCACTCCTGTGAGCTATGATATTAAGCAAAAACAAGGTATGAATGGTATGTTTACTGGAAACATTACAGAGCTGAACCATTCTATTCAAGATATGTTAAAAAAGCTAAAAGCACTGCTGTCCTCTATGCTGGTAATTTATGCAATTGCCTAGTGCTATTTAGCAATAGTTACTATTACTCCCTGGAGCAATCAGATGGTAGCCTGCTAGCAGAATACTAACTACTAAATATTATCAGTTGGAGATTTTTAAAGACAGAATAATTACCAAGTGATTATGAGCACAAATATTTTCCCAGAAGCAGTTTGTCAAGTGAACCCGATTAGGAATATATATATATGTCCTATTAGCTCCAGTTTACAGATGCTGCCTTTATAAAAAGCTTATGCCTACATATCTAGCACTAGTGAATTCTGCAACTGCTCTAGGGTTTACAAACAAGCTAAAAACTATCTCCAAAAACCACATTTGACAATAATAGACAATGACTGGAGTGGGACTAATAAGAATAACAAAAAGGGAAAGAAGAGAAAGAAAAAAGTCAATTAAAAACCTTTTTCTAAATCAATAGTTGGTGCTCTTCTTCTCTGAAGATCAGATGAGCCCTAGAATGTATCTATTTGTCTACCATGGTAAAAATCTAAGTCAACATGCCTAATAGATCAAGCAAATAAAAGCTGCATTTTGTTTTTATTATAAATACTGTTCTACTTCTGTAGAACTTGAAAAGGTACTAGTGGTTGGGTGCCAACAAACTTTATATCCACCTAGTAGATATTAGATATTCCTCCTTTTCCAAAATGGACATAGAATATATCAGATTTTTACCATAAGCAATATTAATTAGCTTCACAGGACAATTATAAAATCAAATCCCATATCTGTTCATTAATTGTAAAATAACACTGAAAACTACAGAATTAAATGTTACTGCTACAAAACTTAAAGCTCAAAAATTAATTTATCAAAATTTATACACTTACTACTTGAAGCAGAGAAAGATAACCAGCTCCAACATTATCGAAGTTTACTTTCACGTTTTTCCACCGAGCAGCCTCACCAGCAATCATAAGATTTTTACACTCAGTTGCATTACTGACTTTCTTTGGTGAGAATGGCTCACCAGTTGTGGTGTTAACACAGTGATAGAACTTGCCAGCAAACAAATTTACTCCCATGATGCTGAAAATTAGCCAGAATGTGAGACAAACCAGAAGTACATTCATAATGGATGGGATCGCTCCAGTAAGAGCATTCACAACCACCTAGTAAATAAACAAAGAAAAAAGATTTTTAAATATATATGTAGAGCAGTAAAAAGATTACTTTTTTCCAAATATAGCAAAAGATTCAATGTAAACCACTAAAATACTCTGAAGTAATGCAAATGGAAAAGGAATAACACATGTAATACAAGCAAACGTGCTACTGCTGGCCTTGAAAACAGACATGCAGTTCAGTGTTCCTCCATGATTTTATAATTAGGCACATATTTATGGATTTGATTTACACACTATTTCTTTTTTCCTTACCCTCATGCCTTCAAAGCGTGACAAAGCTCTTAGAGGTCTCAAAGCTCTTAATGTTCGGAGGGATTTGATTGCACTGAGTTCTGAGAAACCAAGGGCATGAGCTACTAAACTAACCAAGGAGACCTAGAGGAGACAAAAGAAAACAAAATATTTTTTTTTTCATTATAAATAGCCTCACAATACAAATGCAATGCCTCAAGGAAGAAAAATGTTGATCGGGATATTAGAAAAAAAATTCATAAGGACCCTAAGCTTCTAGCAAGAACAAATAAAATTTAACAACAAAAAATATTAATAGAACCTTGTGTGTAAATTTCAGAACAGTTTAAGCAAAAAGAGACCTTAATCTCTGGAATTTTCATCACAGACAGTGCTAGTTAGAATGCATACTAGTTAGAATGCATGTCATACCTCTGCAAAATGAAGGGCAATTTGGATAAAAAGAATTTGAATAGTTCATCTTCCCAATACACTCAGCTGAAGCCTGAGATGCATTGAAACCTAATCCTATTCCACATGACATGTTACAACACTAAGCAGTGCTCTCCTACAGATGTATTACTATAGTCATGATAAAATGTGAGCCAGCAGCATTTGTTTCTGCTAGTTTGCACTTAGAACAATTCACATAGTAGCAGATATACGAACAACTAGCAATTCATATTGCCTGCAGATGATTACAGGCTTGGAAGTGGTATATACTCAGTCAGACAGGATGCTGACATGCATGATTCCTAACTGTACAACGGACACAAAGAAATACCAATGTCAATACAATTACCTAAAAGCAATGCACAGAAATGCATAGAACAGTACACAGCACTTTCCTGGGGAGCGGAGTTATGACAGAGTTAACAATTTAATTGTGATCTGTGGCTTGTTGTCTCTTCAGACTAGTGCAATCTGGATATTTTAAAATGAAATAAAAGATGAAATGTTTTTTGTAACTCACACAAACTAGATGAAACCAAATTAACTCAGGGAACTCAACATCCGTGCAACATACGAAATATAAGTCAGTGATCACTACAGTCCTTTACCATTGGTGACTATATACCTGTATTTACAAAATAATCCATCTAAAACTTTAGATAATTCAGCTACTGATATAATTATAATTAGGCCACATAATTCAAGAAAATAAAATGTCATTAAAAAAAGGAAAAAAGAAAACTAGAAGATCCAGAAAAAGTACACATTCACTGAGTGGAATGACCTTCGTTTATGCCACCAATCTGATTTCCTATACAAACTCAACTATTAGGCTCAGTTTCAGAAGACTGTGCCTTCTTTCAGTTCAAATGCTGGACAAACATTTAGCATAGAAAGCCTTAATCCATATGAATCCATCAAGACCTTAAGATCATTATGCCTTACTTCTGTAATTCTAGAGAAGATATAGAGAAAATCTGTTTCAAGTATTCCTGTTAGATAACCTGATTTTTTTAGATAATGCAGTTGTTATATTTGCATATTTGCATTGCAAGAAATCCTCTTCCTGCAAGATTAGGATGATCTTAATGATGCTGTAATTTTATCTTTCTTTGGAAACTACAATACAATTTAACATACTGCTTTTTTCTGCTTTCTTTTTTGGAAGGGGAGAAAGGAGAGGGAGTATAGTTCATCTCATGACATGGTGCTGATGGCAATTAGAGCTTAATTTTTCTGGTATCATCTGTGGAAGTGTGTGCATGTGCATGCAAGCATTTTTGTGGTGGTTTTTTTTTTTTTAAGAAATAATTTCTTCATCTTCCTTATGTATGATCATGGTTTGGACAACTCCTAATACCAGCTCTGAACTTTCTTCCACATATAAAATTACTAACTGTAATATTTCTCTGATGTAAAATTAGAAAATAATATTATATACTTTCATGAATACAGTAAATTCAAAAGATGTACTGTAACAAAAAGAATGGGAAATGTAAAAAATGATACATGTGAGATAGAATCCATCCTCAGCTTCCTTTCAATTTTCTGTTCTTGTAATTACCAAATAGGGCATTTGCAGAAAAGCACATTGGGAGCGTTACGTGGAAATATATTACTTTGGATTTGTTAAACTGTTTGTGTTTTGGAAATTAACGTGCCTTGAGATTTACTTCCTCTTTTAACATTATTACTCTTGTGGAACAGAGGGTCTAATCTACAAGAATTTTTGAAACCTTCAGTACAGATGGATTAACAGCTCAAAAGCTGATTGTCCTGCTGTTTTCTAGTGAGAATCAATGACTTCTCTCCTCACAGAGTCCTTCACTCCAGATGGCTCTCCTGTTGCATATACACAGGAGGAAACCTTATGCAGATTTCCTTCCTCTAAGGGTGGTTCAAGCAAGCTGTCAAACACTACACAATTCCACGTTTGTTCTTATCATTACACACTTTGAACTTGCACCCAGAAGGGTGAGTAAAACCAGCATCTGTACTTGTATTGGCACTAATTATCCTTTTCTGGAAACACTGTGAACATGGGTAAGAATTTCTGTTTGTATGCTCTAAGTTCTTTCCCAGATAGGGCACAGCTAGAGAGTTTAGACTAACAAGTACAGAACAGTTTGCCTAAAAAGATCCTATAAAATCTTGCCTCACTGTAAAACGTTTAGTAGACTGGTACTGGTATGGCAAATTTGTTCAATGTTTAGCTGGATAAAGACATAGGATAGGAAGATAAAGCAAAGATAGATTCAAACAGTTGAGGGCAGCACACTGCCCATTACCTAAACCAACAGGTAAAACACCATCAGTAAGAGAAAGAGTTACAGTTGCTTGCTACTGGCTGAAAACAGTAACAAGTAAATCTGGCAATAAAGTCAGAAAAGACTAAGCAGACCACCACTGAGTCTTTCAGGGGACGGGGATGGGGGTGGAGGGGAGGAGCAGGTTTACAATACAGGTGGTCAAACACTGGAAACAGATTGCCAAGTAAGGTGTCACAATCTCCATTCAAAACTGGGTATCATCCTGAGCAGCCTAATCTAGCCTTGAGGTTAGAGCTAATTTCTAATCTGCTATAGGCAAGAAGCTAGACCAGAAAATCTCTAGAAGTGCCTTCCAACCTAAGTTATCTATGATCTGCTACTATAAGATTGTAAGACATAGGCATTCTAAGCAAGGGATGAACATAGATACCAGAAAGCACTGAAATCACTCAAAAAAATGAATAGCCCATAGCAATCCATTTGGAGACATGGTATGCTTTACAAATTTATCTTAAACACAATTCCAGATCAACCTTTCACAATACAGGCTTGTACAAAGACACTAATTCTGAATATTTCTTAAATGGTAACACATTTATTTATTTATTTTCTTTCATTTTCACAAATGACAACTCTAATGGACAAGGAGACACACAAATTTAAGTATCACAAGGTTCTGGAAACATACTGTCTTGGAATTCTAAGAGGAAAGGAGACTAAAGCATGGTATCAGCAATTTTATGCAAAGGTGACAAAATCCATCTGGATGATTGCTGTTGATTTCCCATTTAATTACGAAATGGATATACTTTTTCATTCAACATTTGATTTACAACTAAAAACAAATATCAGAAGTCTACGGCATCCATAAAGAAAGAAAATATTAAAAATATTAAAATATTCAGCATCACTCAAAGAGTCTCAATTCTTTTTCCTTTACCTTGTTGAGGGCATCTTGTTTTGCAGAATTTAATCTTAAGGAAAGGGAAAACATCTTATGCTTATTAAGTTTCTTAGAGATCAATACACCTGTTCTGGGAACACATGTTGACTTTATACTTTGTATATCTTGTGTGTTTACGACAGAAGAAATGGAGAGGACATGAAAGGAGAAAGTGGAAAATTGCATTTCCCATGAAAACACATGTTATCTCATGTCACTGAGTTAGCCCATTTACTCAGAATGGAAATTCTGCACCCCTGCCCCATAACTGATGCTAAAAAGTGAAGCACAGTTAAATACGGAAGACAGACAACACACTTGTGCCTTTCCCTCCAAAAAAAAAAAAAAAAAGCATTTAAAAAAGAGCATTAGGTAAGTTTTAATTCCATTGATCGGGGACAAAATTTCTGTCCCAGATTCCATCTGATGAACAGTTTTCCTGTGTCCATTTGTTGAATTTCCACTAAAGAACTCCTTTATAAGAACGTATCATGCAATGTCACTAATGTAATTAATTTCTTTGGAGTACAATTTCAACACTACTTTTTATCATATTTGTTGAAAAACATTAATTCTGTCACCTAAAACCTGGCTTTTTTTCTTTTACAAGAACTCAGAGAGGCAAAAGAGGTATCCCCTCTGATCAGAGACATAGCCAAACAAAAGCAAAATAATTTCAGCTTCCAGAAAAGAATCTTTAGAAAGTCATGTGTCACTGAAAAGTGGAAGAGTTGCACTGAAATCAGCCTTGCAGCCTAGCACAACAGTGAGCACTGTAACAATCAAAATGAGGATTGCGACTGAATGATTCCTTCCGTTTTATATTCATCCATAGGCCACCACTTTTCATTTTCCTCAATCCTGCTCCTTACTCCAGTTGCTGCCTCCTCACCCCCACCCCTCTTCTTTTGCTGTCTTCTTCATTTCTTGATACCATTCTCCCCTGCAGTTCTTTGCCAGTGACTTATTAAGCCCAGGATCAACTGTCCTACCCCAACCACATGTGGTCACTTAAATTTCCCTTCTCCTTTCCGTGCCTGCTTCCTCCTTGTTCTCTGTCACCAAATCCAGAAAACTGAAGTCCAATCAGCTAATAGTCCTCACTCACTGGTTGGGACCCAGCGCAGTAAAACACAGACACAACACACGGAGTCAATGAAAGCATAAACATAAAGGCAGATTTAGTTACCCACTGAATAATTACAATAGAATCTGATTCACTGGTACGTAATTTTCTGTTCCTTTAAACCAAATTTATCTACTTCCCTGTATATTTATGTATCAGATTAGAGTTACATAAAAGAACCTGCTTAAACAACAGAAGTAGGCTACTTGGAAAGTATAGTACCTACATCAACAATCAGGAAATCCAGCCAGCACCAAGCATTAGTGAAATAAGTTTGAAAACCATAGGCCACCCATTTTAGTACCATTTCCAGAATAAAGATATAAGTGAAGATTTTATCAGCATATTCCAGTATGGTTTTTATAGTCTTGCGCTGTTCAATATTAACATCTTCAAAAGCCTGTGAAGAACGAGTTACATATAAGTCACATAGTCATAGGTCTTTACAAACTACAAATTAAGCCAAAACAACTGAATTAAAAATGGCAAAGCAAGATCACTTTCAACTTTAGATGTTTTACCTTGAAAAGTCAGCATAAGCAGAGACTACAATTGCATTCTTTCTGAGTTTTAGATTTTATCATTGCCTGATAATGGAATTACAATATAATGACTGAAGTTGCCTAAAAGGTTTTTAGAAACGCTAGTAACAGTCAACACAGAGTTACAATTTGTGACCCTGCAAAGCCCAGTTGGGCTCAGGCAGAAGGTAGTCTCCTGACTATAACAACTTAAACTAACAAAAGAGAATAATGAGCTAGAGTGACCAAATATTATGTTGCTGCTGATCTTTGCTGAATTCCAATATTGGGTGTTGGTGGCAAGGTTTTCGCAGCAGAAGGCTGCAGGGGCAGCCACTGTGAGAAGAGGCCAGGAGCTGCCCTATGCCAGCTCCACAATGGACTTGCCACAGGAAGCAACTGAGCCCATCAGTGAAGCGGGTGTTGCCTCTGGGAAAGCATACTTAAGAAAGAGCAAAACACCGCATGGCAGTATGAGAACTGAAGAAAAAAAAAAAAAAGTGAGAGAAACTGCCCTGCGAACACCAAGATCATACAAGAAGAAAGGGACATGGTGCTCCAGGTGCCAGAGCAGAGAATAACGACAGTATATACCAAATCCTATGACAATCAACAACCAGAAAGAACTCGATACTTAGTAGCTCTATGAAGGACTAAATGTCACTAAGAATAGTACAAAGGAATTCAAGGAGTCATATGTAACAGTCTAGAAATACTGTAACTAAAACTAAAGCAAAAAATTAACTGAGAACATGATTAATTCAGTATCTGTATTGCTTTTGGGGACAATTTTAATTTAAAGTAGAATAATTGTTCCAGTTATTGCATACGATTCATTTTGTATCATTTCTGTAATATCTTAAACAAGATTTTTAGTGTAATACTTTTCATAAGCACCCTCACACACACCTATCACCTTATATTAATCAAAAATTCATCTGCAGAATGTTATTAGACAGCAAAATTTTAATGACTTATTTTATATGCACTACCCAAAATATTCTGGGAATTTAGTTCCAAGCTCTCTTTCAAGCCAACTTTGTATTTTTTTCTTAATGAACAAAGATGTGTTGTAACACTATCTTTGATAAAACATTTTTCATAGGCACTGTTGCTATGGGTGCAAGCTCTACTTACCAGAGCACCACTGCTGAGAAGAATCATGAAGACAATGAATGTTTCAAACCAGTTGTGTTCTACTATCTTGTAGCAGGTTTTTCGAAGGTTCCACCAGATTCTTCCTTTTGTGCTTTCAACGCTGCCTTGACAGCATTTAAACTTCCGTATACAACCTAATAATACAAATAATGACAAAACAAAACCACTCTTAACTATCTCCTCTTTCATGAGGTTCAAATTACTTCAATTTATGCTTCAAACTACAGCATGCTACTTAAAGCATCCTCACCTTCTCAATTTGGTACTTTGGATGTAGGAAAATTTGCATGTGCATAATTTTTCTACTATCTTGATGTTACACTAAGCTTAGAATAAAAGAAGTGCCATCTAATCGACCCAATTTTAATTCATAAACACATTTTAAAAAATTTTTTTTCATTTATACAAAGGTTATCAAAGAATAAATGAGAATTATCAGGGAGCAGAAATAAAGAGCATAAATACATAGCAACTTTCACATGAACTAGTTCAAGAGTACAGCAGCTTCTTTTAAAAGTACTTTTGTCTCTCAGCTAACGTTCAAATAAATCACACAGATGTAAACACCCATTATTTTATTATACTGAGGAATGACCTCTGTTTCAAGGGCTGACTAAGGATACCTCTTTCATGACATAAACAACTGAGTTAACTGGAGATTGCGAGAGCTTCTCCATGTGGTACAGATTTGCGGCAACCATCCACAGAACTCTGCCTCACCTTGGAGAGCTCCCTTTCTTACAAGGGGGCCTCAAGGCACAGTTTTCAATAAACCTCAGTATCTGCCTGGCTAATAGTAGTCTCCTTATTGCTATAAAAATGATTAATCACATAGAAACATAACCAAGTTTAAACTAGTTTAATGGGTCCTAAAGGCAGTATTCTAGACTTCCTGTGTGTGTCATTGAGTTTATATGTTACAAGTAAGTTACACTATATTTCATCAGCTCAGATAAACAGCTACCACTGTGAAAAGCATGATTTACCTACTCAAAACACCTACAATATGGAAAAATTAATCTTATGCCCAAGGATCAACAGACATCACATAATATAAAGAATAATTGTAATACAATGTGAAATTATTTGAGAAGTGTACTTTTTTTTAATCGAGCTTGATATTCAATATAGCCCCACATTCCAAAACAATTTTGTTTTTTTTTTTTTTTAAAGATAAGTGAAATAAAATTTCAAAGGACAAGAGTCCTAGCCTAAATCAAAGGTGTCTTCACAACAGTAAATCAAAAAGCATAGACAGGATAGGAGAGTTAATCCAGGAACATATTTTGTTTTGAATGATTTTAATCACGACAAAAGTAAAATCTGTAATATCATAAAAAAGGGAAACACACTCCTATACAGTAAATTCCAGTAGTCCCCTGTATAGCTGTACAGAACTAAAATAAACCAAAACTTCTAAGGACATGAAGTACGTGTTAAGACTTCTTAACTTAGCAAAAACATAGGACCTCGTTCACCTGTTGCACCCCATGTTATATTTATGCACCCCCTCCCTCCATTAATGGTGTAATGTCATGATAATAACTCTATTGTTTGAGTCAAACTTTCCAAGATCTGAATCATCTACTAGATTGCTTTCTAGCACTATGAAGGAACCATGGGTAATCACATGATTCTGGTTTAAATTTCTCAGTGGGGTGAACCTGTAGGGTTTGGTCTTCTGGATTTCACTGCTGAGAATGTAATTTAAATCAACAGCAATACTGACTGCTAAGAATCAGTTTATAGAATTGTGCCTAGTGTTTATTTTAAAATATTATGAATTATCACATACACACATATTTAACTTTGCACCACACAAATGGGTCCATGGACTTCAGTACAACTATCTACAACAGGCAAAATCAATCATATCATGAGACTTATCAAACTAGGATCCAGGACTGCTGTAGCAAATAGCTTCCTTGAACCGCCAATGCTTGCTGCAAACAACCAAAACGTAATTGCAAACCCCAAATTTTATTTTCTTACCTTCCGTAAAGCACGCCTGTAGCTCTGATGCTTTTTCTGGTTCGGTTTCAGCTTTTTCTTCTCCAAAGAGAGCTAAATTAACTGTACTTCCTTCAGATGAGCTGGAAAAATTTAGCTTCTGAAAATTAAATTCGGTAACAGTTATACTTTACTAATGTTTACATTTTTAGAACTCTAACTTTAAGCATGCAACACTGTGTGCAAGTAATAAGAACAATATTTGTCACCAGAAATATACACACAAACATCCACATATAGCAGTCAATGCTGTTGAAATGTGCATAAATCATCCACTTCCTACCTAGCGATTGCAAGACGTATTATGTAATCTTTCACTGAATTTCAGAATTTCTGGTCTAAATATAGTACCATGTTACCACTCAAGGTTAACTAAGTATATTTTCTGATACATATTCTATTTATTTTGTTTTCTACTATTATTTTACTACTATAATTTCTCTTGCTACATTTTAAACCAATACCAGTTATACTGTATGCTTATACACATGAAGATGATGTATGTTGGTAGCTGCTTTCATTAGAGCAGTCTCATCAAGCTGAAGACAGTAAATCCTGACAGCAAAAAACTTCAGATTGTGAACTGTCAGGGTAAACTGTCCAAGGGAGAAAATGTAGCAGATTTTTAAGGACTGATTTTAATTCAGTGCCCACTATTCATAATATAAAAACAAATGAATTATCAGTTCTTTTTCACTGGCATCTTAAACATCAGTATGATGCAAGCTAACCACTTCTGGAACATATGACATATTATAATAAAATTTGGTTTGACCACAGATAATGCAGTTATTTTTTGGTTCAATATAATTCTTACGATCTAGATTGGAAAATGCTAAAGTAAAATCAGGATTAATATGAAATATTGTTTCAGATATGAATTTGAACATTACCCTCAACACAGTTATAAAACAAAGTAAACCTGCCCTATCTTAACCCGGAATTATCACTATCATACAAACACCTTTTATGTTTTTTCATATATAATGGTAAGTTTCAAAAAGGAAAAAGTATGATTACATTTCAACTGGCATTAATTTGCATTCTTTTTTACAAATGCACGTATGTAATACATCGTGCATTCTGAAACTACCCATTACTCTGGTACACATACCTGTACAGTTAACACCCAGAACGAAAGGATTGGTTTTGTTTTGTTTTAATAATTAAAATTACATAAGTCCCATTAGTATGAAAAAGTTACTAACAAAGAATAAGCCTAAATTTATTTTTTATTTTGTAATCTGCATGTGTGTTGCAAAAATCTGTAGTCCAGAGGTTTTAAAGGAAGACGCGGTGTCCTGTACACTTAATCTGAGTATGAGTACCAAACTAAGTCAAAGTAGTTTTGGTCACAGCATTCTCTGACATTTTACAATGTTGAATTATCAAGACGTATATAACATCAGTAATGAATTCACACAATTAAATGTCTGTAGGGAATGATGTAAGCCTTTGTTTTGTAGAATTACACCACTTTCATTAATTTAGCTAGACTTGCACAATTAAGAGACATTTAAGATACAAAAGCAGACAAGTTACAGGCATTGTCCAATCAAGCTATATTTACACCTCAATTGCAAAATCTGAAAGGACAAGATTATTTTAGGTACTAAACAATTTTTTTTTTTGCTACGTTTGTGAAAGAAGACAGAGACAATTTAATAAGAAAAAGTAACCCAGTGTTCTGCATTAACTTATTAAAAATGATTCAGTAATATTGCCTACTTTGCTGCTACTTAAAAAAATTATTATCTGGAATAGAACCCCCAAATTACTCATATTTAATGTACACACCTCTTCATTTTTAGCAGCATTAATTTTAAAATATCAATATTCAGAGCAAACATCTTTTCCTATCACTAATTCTACTGAACCTGAGGATAGTAGTATATACCTCCATCATTTTATTAATATGCTGCTTTCATCATTCCATGACATATACTTATTGCAAAATGTTGCAGCAGTGCTGGCTAAACTGAAACAATGAATTGAATTATAAATTAAATTACTAATTTACAAAAAATATTTTTTAAGAGTAAGGAAGTTTTGTGTCATATCCCTAATCAAAATTAAACACAACATGAAGTACCCTGGGTCATTTGAACTGTAAACTACCTAGCACACTTGAGCAGATGACATGAATTCAACTGAAAGAATACAGATTTTTATGAATTAACAACATTACAAGATGAACAACCATAACTGGAAAAGAAACTGAAAAGAATGAATGTGTTTAGAACATGCAGTTATGTATCTCATTCAATAAATGGTAGAAGAATCGGAGATTAGAGAACTCTATTTTTAGTTAAGAAAGGCAATTTTTAAGAAATCAAATTAGAGGCCTAATGAACTATTTTGATATACAGGACAGGTAGCCTGGGTCCCTCTTTCTTCTAAGGACAGCGTAGGATATAATCCTGTGCTTGAACAGTTAGAGATTTAATTCAACATAAATATATACTGTACTGTTATAGGGTCAAAATTTGGAGTTCATTATATTCCTTTTTTTCCTGAAGGAGTCAGGGCATGGCGGCACAAATATTTGCAAGAATAATGTTACTACTACAAATTGTCCCACTGAAGCCATTTAGGATTATTTGAGGTAAGTAGTAGAGAGTCAATCTCTAGTGAGCATCAACTTAAAAATAATAAATGAAAGTGCACACAAAATTGCATATAATGACTTTAAAGAAAACTCCGTAGTAAGAGCTAATAAGAAGTAGGCCACTGATTATACACACAGTGCAGCCTACTGTGCATTCAACTCAAGATATTCACATTTTGATATTCAAATAGTAAAGGAAAATCTGATCTGTTTCCCAGCCTCCAAAGCAAAGAATAAATGTACCAGCAATACAGCTGTTAATATGAAGAATAAAAGGGAAACATTGTCTTGTGTAGTTTAAAAAAACAACAAACCCACAGGAAGACTGTGCTGCATATTCTCGTCTTCTCATTTACTAAGGATCTCTCTCTCTCTCCCTCTCTATTTCTAATTTAAGTAGATTGAATATGTTCTTGCTGGAGAAGGAGGTAAAGAACTGCAGTAAAATGTGAACGACCACTGTTGATAACAGCGCTTTGGTGAGTATGTTCAGGAACCTCTTAGAAAAGAGGATCTAAAATTATGATATAGAAATGCAACAGAAAACCTTAGCACACCTGTGTTACGCCACTTATATTCCATCAATTGAATATTTTCCTGCTTAATCAGAATTATTTTCGGCAGGAAATACTTCTTCAGTAAAAACAATCTAATTTTTCCATTGTCTCAACTATTAATTAAACAACAAAAAGGACATAAAGCACATTTTTTGTGATCATCATCTTTACTACATCAGCTTGACTCATCACTGAGTATGGTACTCCAGTGTAAGCACAGCTGGTAAAGTGACTTTTACTGTAATCTTTTTATTTTTCTTTCTTTGAAAGAATGAAAGGAAGTATGTCTATAAATGAAGCCTGGAAATTATTTACCTTTTAAAGAAACCAAAAGTATTGCCCACAGAAAATACTTAGGTTTTTCAACCAAACTAAAACCAAAACCTACCTCTCCTACTCTACATAACCTAGCAAAAAAAAAAAGTCACACATATCTATTTTTTTTAAAAAAAGCGTCACCTTATTATGCAAGGATTGTTACAGTAAGATAACATGACATCCAAATGAAAAAGATTCGTGTATTTTTCAGTCAACTGATCACAAGTCCCTGGTTTACGATTTTGCATGCTGTTCTACACCTCCCCAGATTTGTAACAGCAGAAACTTGAAGCAGGAGCATTGTCACATAAACAATATCCATCAAATCAGAATCATCCCCCCATACTTCGCACCAGTAGGAAGTACCGCATTCTACTCTCCCCTATTTAAATGCCTTTTCTAAATCGGTTTGGAAAAATCCTTAGAAAGAAAATTTTTCATTCCATCTTTCTGAATAGCTTACAGGCCACCTGGGCACAAAAATAAGACCTGAAATGTTTCCAATATATAATACAAGTGCAAAAGAATACAGGAAAAATAATGCAGAATTCCACAACAAAACCACATGAACAAAATTTGTATTTGGAAAATGAATACCTCAGTGACCCCTAAATGGCAAGGAGCAGAACGGCCCAACTATTCTGAAGAGATCTTTGGGAATAAGAAACACATCACTTGGTACAATTAACATTTGTTTTACAGTTCTGGAGTTCCTGAGTTTAGAGGTTTGGGAGGGTACTAGTTCCTATTTTGTCTTTTTTAACACTTGTCTTAATTTTAGCCTTATCCTGGATTTTCCTAATTTTTATATTTATTTGTTGCATGAACTTCCTTATTTACACCGTTTTAAAACACCCAGATTTATTTAGACACCTACATAGAATTTTTGCTTGAAATTATGTTTTATGTCAGTCTTTCTAAAAATAAATCAACTGGATTAAGTTCACAAAGAATCAATTATTGATGATGAAGAGTAAAACTGTTATAATTCCCTAAGTTTCAATCTTACAGACATACACAAACTTCATGAGTAGAACATAACTAAATTATTACACCCATATTCAAAAGGGCTATCCATATGTACGTATAAAGAAGACACGTTGATTGTTCTGATGATTGTTTCATCCTATATTTTAGCTTCTCTTATATGAGAAAGCTGGAATGTAAATTACAAGAACATTGTGAACAAACATGAAACCATTTATATCAAAAGATATAAACATTTTAGCATACAAGTAATAGTATACATGTAATATTACAAAGGCATTGGTCAAACGAACGTGATCGGAAAATGTTCATAATTATATGACAGCTAAAAACATGGTTCAACAGACAAACGGAAAAAGTCAAGTGAAGATTACCTTTTCATTTTCATAAAATCATAGGCTGTTAACCTCTTTTAAACTTGAAGAGTCTTGATGCTTAATAATTCAGTTAGCAACAATAAACACCTACAAAGCATGCAGGTTAAGCCACAGAAGTAGTACAGAAAATACCAAAGATGTAACGAGAGAGGAACATGTTGGGGTTGCCCTCAACCATGCTGTGACGCGAGTCATGGGACTCAGCTTACGGAGTGGCTGTGCATGTTTCCACTACGTTGCAATGGATGAGGAAAAATATTGTAGCTGAATAGCATGCAGGCCAATCAATCTCAAAAGTGATCGTATATGTATGATTTGTTTAGGTAACCTGTGTAAACATGCTGACACGTTGCTCTGCCTGGTTAAAAAGCACCAGATCTGCATTCTTGACTGATCCAGCTTGATTTTACTCCTGTGAGAAGTAAGAATGGTACGCAATGAAGTTAAAACACGGTACCCCTTAGCTTGTTTGAGTTCTGGAAACAGCAGAAGTATGGATTCCTACTTATTTAAAAATGTGTTTTCTAGATACATCACACACTTGCAAAATGTAACATTTACCACTGTTGATTAGAGCTTTAAGCATATCAAAAGACATACCGAAAGAGGTAAAATTAGTAGAATATCTGAAGCTCATAGATGTATATTGGATTTGGGCCTGAACTTAAACCCCCCACCCATCCAAAAACCTTGCCACGCCAACCCCCCCCCCAAACCCAAACCAAAAAAACAAAGAGATACATCCACACTATGTATATTACAGCTTTAAGCATCCTCTAAATGGTAGTAATTAGACCTTTAAAATAACAGAAATATATTTTTCCTTGCATATAATTTTCAAGGTTATTCCTGGTCTTCACTAGATGCTAAATATGTGTTTAGGATACACTTTCAGAAAGAAGCCGCAGGCAAAACAAAACAAAACAAATCATTCATACCAGGTCAAACACGCAAACTTCTGGGTAAGCAATTTTTCCCGGCATTGTTAGCTTTTTTAACTGCATGACTTAAAAAAACAAAACAAAACAAAACCAAACAAAAAGGGTTTCAAATAGTTTAAGGTGCATTATGGATTGGAACAGATATATAGCAATGTAAAAACAAAAACCCATGCCTAGCAATAAACCTGTCATTTCCTCATTTACTTCACATCTATCTTTTATTAGTCTTCTGGTATAAATCCAATCTCACTTCTCACCGCAGATTTGTCTAAGGCTCGTCAAATAATGTGCCTACCTAACAACTCCAATATAAAAGTGCTCCCATTTAAAAGGGACGTCTGAAAGAAACAGACGAAATAATCTACAAAATCAAAGACAATTTCCTTACTGACAATGAACACTGAATTTAATGTGTACATTAAATATTTGGTTTTGTTGTTAATTTACATATCTCCTATGGTTGTATTTCAACTACACCAATCGTTAGCCACTTTTCCAAATGAGTGGGTTAAAATCAATACTAGATAAGAGTATCTTAAAAACAGCTAATGTTTATATTCAATCTTGAATATCAGAGGTGAGACGGCATAGATTTTGTTACCCAATTCTTAAATATAAACTAGTGAAGAACCAGGTGTCTTCAATTGCTGGACAATTTCCAGGTAAGTGTTAGATTTAACACAGTTATCAGAGCAAGAGTAAATTACCTGGATTCATGAGACATTCCTTCCACAAAACCAAGTTTTATTAAAACACACTAAGAAGGCCAGTATCCTTTATTCATATTAATAATATGTAAAAGATGCAGCAGCTGTTCAGCAGACATGATACCTTCTTTACATAGTGCACCTAATACTTTAAACCCTTTAAGAGGCCTCCTAGTAATCTAAGGTCTTCTCAACTGAGGGGTCAACAGTATATATATGGATTAACTGAACCTCCAAAAAGTAAACGGAACAAATCAAGTGTCAGGAAATGAGCTGCTGAAATAACATATTAGTGTAATACTACTGAACACTGCACTCAAAAGCAGCTCCTAAAGAATCACCTTATTACACCTTTCAAATTTAAGTTTAATTTAACTACACTTTGCTAAAACAAATGTACTTTCTAAAATTTGGAAAGAATATGGGTAAATGCATTGGCAATTCAAAATAAAACAACCAAAAACCTAAAAAGCTCACAACCAATCAAATGAAAAAAAAAAACAACAAACAACCCAAAACCCCAAAAGAAAACAAAACAATCCAGACAAAGCAATCCAGGCTGGAGTATGGCTGTCTGCACAAGCAGTGACACACTATTAATGTCCTTGTGTCTTCAGGTGCCAGGAGAGTTGATACCAGATACAGTCTGCACTGGAGTCACATCATAGTAATCTGAATTTTCCAAGTGTCTCTCAGGATCCT